TTGCTCAAATTGAACTCACATACATGTACACGTACTGTAATGATTTACATGTACCGGTAGTCTGCTTCAGGAAAGTGTGATGGAATGTGAAAATGTTTGCTACATGTATGTATTTTGTGTATTTGTTTTGCATGTATATGTATGCAACACAGTTGTTCCATACATGTACGGTACACGTGTCCTGGTGTATGAATGTACTGGTAAGTACATGTACATATGTACATGTATAATAAGCACATCAGGTGTAGAGTACAGCATTAATTATGAAAATAAACTTCCTTCACGCTACATATGTAACATTATGTACATGTACAAGTAAACATAATTTGGCATTTAAACTTCACTCTGCATATCAAAATGGCGAATGGAACTCTGACTCAAACAAACTTTTTTTTGGGGGGGAAGGACACCCTGTACATGTACTGTACCGGTACACTACATGTCCAGTTTCTCCTTTGGATATTGCTGTCAATTCATAAACTTGCTGTTTCCATAAGACCTCTCTGTGAGTGAAGCTGAGAGAAACATCTTCGTAAAGCAGTGAATTTCCCTTGTGGAGATGGGCTGCACGCACATTCTTGCCGCAGAGGACACGTCTGGTGATTCTGCCAATCTGTGAGATACATGTACGTGCACCGTGCCAAGTTGCAGAGGTGTTCCTCGGGGCAATTCCATACAATTATATTTGTATGTGAAAGTGCAGCTGTGACAGTAAGACTACCAAGTGTTTTCTCAAATGTGAGAAAAAAGTTCAAGTGACCAACACTGTCATTTGGATGAAAGGTAACCACCCCCACAAATACATGTAGAGTTTACAATACCGGTATATCGGCACACCGGGCCGGTGTACATGCACGGTACTTACATGTACAGCACGTACATACATCTTCCTACTATCAAAACAAAGGCCAATTCCACTGTTTGGATTTTACTCTTCAGTCGTACTCGCTTTTAAAGCATTTTTTTTCTCTGATGCTATCAAAGAACATTTAGTTTGCTAATAGAGAAAACAGAACATTTATCCATCCGTAGTACAATGTCTTTTTTCAGCTTGTAAACTACTCTCTGAACCAGGGGTTTAGGTAGCATTTGAATTTTTGAAAACAAGGTGTTTACGTTTGCCTTGAACACGTTGAAAATGAAAAACAGGGTATGCATACACAGGTTGATAAGGTTTTGCTTTTTTACAAGCAGGTGCATTTGTGTGACAAAGAAGGTACAACTAAAGATATCAAAGAGACGTCCAGGCCAGACACTCCAAAAATGTTTTCATAGCATCAGAGAGAAGAACAGAAAGTTTTACATGTACTGTACATGCCTGCTGGTACATGTACTAGTACTAAAGATGACTTTTGAGCTAAATTTATCTTGCATTCATGAGGAATGTTCACGATTTCACACAAATACAACTATTTGTTCACTAGCATGTATGCTAAACTAGAAGCGCTTCAGTGCCGTACAGATTTCTAGGTTCATTTTTAGCAGTGCCATGTCTGACTAGAAACTACATGTGCATGTACACTGTCTGAGACTTCTGATGTACAGTGCAAGGGCAATCGGTGAATCATGAAATACAGCATTGTTCGTTTGTGGTTTGGTTTACCTAATAAAATATTGATTAAAAACACATGGTCTTTTTTGTCAATATAATCTGTAAACGGTGAATTTCCGTACATGTTAGTGAACGTGTTGTACATGTACATGGGTACATGTACAGTAGTTCTATCTGTTATACCAACTTCTGTTTGATGATTTTTGCAGAGTGCATAATGTGCCAGTATGGCTCTTTTTCGAAGTATTACATGAATGGGACATACACATACATGTACACCATGTGTCCATCCATTGGACGTACATGTACATGTACACCATGTGTCCATCCATTGGACGTACATGGAGGCCTACCGGTATTAGTAAAACACTGTGCATATACATGTAACATGTATACTGTACATTTGCATTATTCTGCAATTTACTAAATAAACCGAATGAAAAAAGGAAAGACAACTGTTTTCCTCTGGAATTGCCGCAGAAAAACAATTACCTGTACATGTACATACTTGAAGGCTTACATACATGTACCGGTACATTCCCAAATGAAGGGTTTGCATGACTGCCATTTTGCAGGCCAGTGCTTTTGTTCTGCAGGATATGCACAGGTTTCAACAAAAGAACACCATGTACATGTACACTGCAAGATGGCTCCCACGCAAAGCCTCTATATATACTGTGTACCACAGAGATGTACAGTTCATGAGTAAAAATTCAAACAAAATAAAAACACACAAACACAGTAATTTAAAGTCCCAGTACATGTATCAGATTTGCAAACACCAATGCTACATGCATGTTGAATAGAACAAAATTAAGCAATCGTGGATAGTCTCATCTCGTGTAAAAATATGGTTTACATACATGTACAGTATACAATGCTGTCCTTAGGGATTTGGTCTTTTCTGGGGGAGGATTTGTGTTAAGGTTGGCTTGCTTAGTTTGACGATGCAAAAATCAGACAAGGGGCCTTATTGGAAATACCGGTACATGTGTCTCAATGATAATGAGGAAGTGCTTTCAAATCAAACTTACCAATAAAATTTCCCAGTTTCCTGCAGGCCTACCGTAGAGAACACAATGAGCCACCCAAGGCTCTCAGAAAATTCTTCCCATTGTGTCTTTCAAAGCAATGCTACAGCACACTGATCTTGATTATCTGAGATGTATGTACATACATGTACAATCTAATTACCCCTCCCCCCCCCAACTCTGCAACAGTGACAATGCGGTAATTGGCAAGTTTGTTTTTTACATTACACCAGACCAGCTGCCTGAAGGTTCAAGACATACAATGCAGTTTGTTCCTAATGAAATTAGCAAATCACCGTCCAGAGAAAACGAAGATGGAAGTTATTCCTCCTCCTTGCACACTGAGCAAAACTGATCAGATTGAAACTCCCAAGTTCATCACAACCTTTTGTCCACTCATTTTGTTTTTTTTTCTTTTCACCAAAATAAGAAATAAGGAATTGAAGAAGGAATTTCAAGTTAGTAAACAAGAGGTGTTTCTCTGTCAGTTTCTGACAGTTACGTTACTCTAATTGCATTAAGGCTGGTTCATACTTCAGGCGGGCATGAAAGAAAAGCAAATTTGACATCTCAAACAATTGCAGTAGAACTCACCTAAGCTGAAATGTGTTCAACTTTTACAAATTTACAGAACTAATATTTGATCTGTTGGTGCAATTTCACGTTTGCTTTCAGACCATACCTTTTTTTAGATATTCA